GAAGCAAAAGAAATAAGAAAAAGACGGGTGTTTTTCTCTCATATTTTTCATAAATCAGCTTCTTTGGGCTTTGTTTTGGGTCACCCTGGCTGGCTGTTCTCAGTGCTCACTACTGGGTCGGCTGTGTTCAAGGCGAGTGCCTTCCCCCCAGTGCTCTCTCTGGCCCCTGCTCCCTGGTTTTCTACCAGCCTTTCAGAATTATTGCTATCCTCATTCTTTGAGGACCTGGCTAGCTACTGAGAGTATCCCACCCGCACAGGCAGAGCCTGGTAGGCTCCCGGTGGCATATTCAATATGCCAAAACCAGTAACTATAACAGGTCTCATTCCCCTGACCCTGAAAGAGCCTCCAATCATTGGAAAAGATGAGTAAGGAGAGGCTGCTAAAATCTCAGGGCTGGGATGAATAGAGATGTTACTAGGGCCCGTTGGAGTAAATCAATGAACAAGGGGATGACAGTGATACAGTGACGAACAGGGTATTTACCAGACTCCAGGTCACCTACACATGTCTTCTTATTTATGTTTCTAAGAAATCCTGCAAAATTGATAGTTCCAATTTTATTTTTGCAGATGGAAAAACTGGGTCTTGGAGAGGCAAAGTCACTGCTAAGTGGAAGAGCCATTTCTGGAAATAAGAAAATCAGAAAATCAGATAATAAATAAGATAATCAGAAAATCCTCCCTTACAAAATTCATAGAAGTACCAGGTATGTTATGCCAGCTTTCCCAGTAGGTAGTTGGAGTAAATCTTTGTAGTTCAGAAGTAAAGAGAGATGAAACCAAGGACCAAGAAGGTGGTTTCACAGGGTCCTTGGGAACAAAAGATAAGACCTAGAAATGAAACTTTCTGGAAATATAGGATGGCAGGGTGCTTGTCTTGGAGGCAGCTGATCTGGGTTTGATCCCTGGCACCCCATATGGTCTCCAAGCCCCACTGGAGTGACTCTTGAGTGCAGAGCCAGTAGTAGGCCCTGAACACCTCTAGGTGTGGTTCACCCTGCAAAAAATAGAGATCCTCAAGAGACTCATTCTTAGTGAAAAGGCAGGCTAAATACCAGTCCTGCTGGCAAAAGGCAGTTGGTTGATTGATTGATTGATTCATTCATTCGTTCTACAGCATTTTTGATCCTTATAACCCAGGTATTTGGGTTCCAGTTACAAACCAAATACATATCCCTGCTCATAGGGCATTTATGGCAGAAAATAAGTAATCAACATAATACATAGTATGGCAAAAGGGATATATTGATGAAAATAAACAGAACAGGAAGAAATGGATCCCAGAGAACAAGAAAACCAGGAGAACAAGAAATCTTCATCTGGACTATAGAAAGAACAGAGGGTTCTCTCGCGTGAATTTCTCATCTCAGCCATGCCTTTGCAGAGTGGGGGCTGGGTAATAGTTGACATTGATTGTCTGATGATACACAGCAGCAATGCTCAACTGGGGCCACCAGGATATTCTTTTATTTTTGGGGGTAGGTGGGGGTCACACTCGGCTATGCACAGGGGTTACTCCTGGCTCATGAGCTCAGGAATTACTCTTGGTGGTGCTCGGGGGACCATATGGGATGCTGGGAATCGAACCCGGATTGGCCACGTGCAAGGCAAATGCCCTACCCGCTGTGCTATCGCTCCAGCCCCCACCAGTATATTCTAAGGGGCACAGTGGAGATCTTGTAAGTGGTGGTGGTGGAGGGGAGTTCACAGTAGAGACTAAGGGACCAACCAGTAGGGCAGGGTGGGGCTGGGGTCCCATAGAAAGGGTACCGGGTGGGAAGGGGGCCATGGTTTGAAAAGAGTTGAGAAATATTAGAGACATGAAGGCAAATAACTACCACCAGCTGGACTCAAGTTTGTATCCTCACTGCCCCATCCATGGAGGAGGATGGAAGCAAAAGCAGGGGCCAGAGAGATGGTACAGCTGGGAAGGCGTTTGCCTTGCATGCAGCTCACCAGGGTTTGAACCTCTACATCCATATGGTTCCCTGAGGCCACCAGGATTAAGCCCTAAGCACCACTGGGTGTGGCCTCAAAACAAAGGGGAGGTGGAACCCCAAAAGAGCAGAAACAACCCCTCTGCCCAGGTTGGCAGAGTCCCACAGATAAAGCTCAGACATACCTGAGCTTACAATAAAAGATGTCGAAACCATTAGTAACAGATTGAGGATTGAATCAAGTGTCTGTTTGACGCCAACGCCCTTGCTCATAAGTCTCCACCTGCCCTTTCCACACGAATCTGCACCATAAACACTCCAGGGCAGGGTGGCCCAGGACTCAGGCTATTTTGGGTCAGAGAGTTGGAGGTGACTCAGGAAATCACACACTGCAATCTCCCCAGGCATGCCGGGCATCTCCCCAGAGGCAGAGGCAGGTGTTGGGTTCAAGACTCAAGGGTGTTCCTCAAGGGAACACAGACAACCACCCTAGAAAGAGACAGGCAGGTGCCCAGTGACACCCTCTGAGCCTGGCCATGCACCTGGCCTAGATGAACTCCAACTGTCTCACTCCAGCATGGGGCTGAGCGAGGGCTGGCAGTGATGGGCAAAGAGGCAGCCTTGGCGCATCGTCACTTTTCTTTCCCTTCTCAGTAAACACTAAGCTCTATATCAAGCCTGGAGAACCCGCTGCCCTACATGAATTTGTACAGACCCACCTAAGACCTGAAGCTTTTATCTGTTTGGGGCTTTCCCAGGGTTACACAGATGGGCCATGGGAAGCCAGGGACAGAGGTCAGGGTCCTGCACACTGGGGACATGTGGCTGCCCCTCTGACTGGTCTCTAGGCAAGAGATCCTTTTTTTTTTTTTTTTTGGGTTGGGGGTGTCGGTGCGGGTCTTAAGCAGTGCACAGGAGTCCCGGGAATTCTCAGGCAACTAAGTAGCAGGTAGGTGCTACTCAGGCCCTTGTAGTGATGGGTACATGGGTATATCTGACCCCCTCAGTTCCAGGGCTGTCCCCCGCAACGCCCTGGCTGCCTCTTTGCCCATCACTGCCAGCCCTCACTCAGTCCCATGGTGGTATACAGAAGACTGAAGGCATGTTGGATGATTCTAAGAGTCGCCCTCACTGCTGGGCTGTCTCCCAGCCCTGCTGTGAGAGTGTTTTAAATCCAAATGGGAGTGAGGAAGAATCTTGTTCCACTGGGAAAGTGTTTGGCCATTAAAAAAAAGGTGTGTGTGTGTGGGGGGGAGCGGTGAGAAGTTGCTTAGTACTATTTAATTTTGAGCTCACCCACCTTTGGGTGTCAAAGGCTTTAGGCTTTCCAGTGTGAAGGCTTGTGTTTATCTGTTTCATCTGTGTGGGGTCCAATTCTGTTGCTTGGGGACTAGGTGGTGTTTCCACTATGGGGGCTTTTCCTTTCTTTCCTGGTCTATTATGGCCTTTTATTTTCTTTCTTTTATGGCATCTCTGCCATAAAATGCTGTTATCCAAACATTTTAAAGTTTCAGGAACAAATGCTACTGCTGTAGGGCATTTAACAATGAAAGTTTTATTTATTTCTATATTTTTTAGCTTTGGAGCCACTCCTGGCAGTGCTCAGGGAACCATATGCAGGGCCAAGGATCAAACCTGTACGATGGCTCCAGCCCCAACAACAAGGGTTTGCTTTACATGCAGTGTAATTCACCCATTTTAGGTAGTTTGACAAATTGTGATCATTGTAGACAATTTCCTAGTCACTCCTAGAATAATTCCTTCACTGTTAGACTTGATTGTAGGCATAACATGGACCCATCAGGGCTCTAGGGACAGGCCTGGCCTGGGCATGAAGGGATAGCAGTGTCTCCCAGAGCGAGGGGGGCTGTCAGCTTTGACGTGTGGGTGTGAAGCACGAAGACCTCAGTATCTTCGGGAACCCTGGCGGTGCCTGGCCAGGTGAGCCATTCTGACTTACAGCACAAAGCACTGCAGCACTGTCCTCTCACTGTTCATGATTTGCTTGAGCGGGCGGGCACCAGTAACGTCTCTATTGTGAGACTTGTTACTGTTTTTGGCATATCAAATACTCCACAGGGAGCTTGCCAGGCTTTACTGTGCGGGTGGGATGCTCTCAGTAGCTTGCCAGGCTCTCTGAGAGGGACGGAGGAATCGAACCCGGAGCCGGGGGGGGGGGTCGGGGGGGCGGTCCCCTCATGCAAGGCAAATGCCCTACCTGCTGTGCTATCACTCCAGCCCTGCACAAATAAACGCCTGAAAATGAGAACATGGACTGACAGATGAGGGTGTAGGGTGAAGCTGATTCACCCAACACCTGAGTCTTGAACTGCCCAGTGGCTCTCCTCCACTTCCCAGGGCCCGTGAGGGGCTGCCAAGGTGGAGCATGAGCTATGCAGGTGTGAGACATCCCCCACCCCCCCCGCCCCCGCCCACCGGGCCTCACAGCCCAAAGGGCTGCATGCTCAGAGGTCTCCCACCACCCTGCCCCACTGCCTGCAGCGCCTCCCGTCAGGTTTTGCCCTGGGCTGCCCAGGTCAGTGTGTCCAGAGTTTCGTGGGATGGAGGGGGCAGGTGAGCAGTGGGGCTGGACAGCAGCCTGGCCCCAGGCTTCCCTCGTGCTAAACTATCTCTAAACAAGTCTTTGGGTTTACAGGATTGTGAATGTCAGTGTGCTCTGCTTGTGTGGGTATTGCAGACAGGGTGGCTGCCCGTGTCCAAGCTGCCCAGGGGCTGTGGCGGGGCTGCCACCCACCTGGACTCTCCTGAGAGGCTCTGCACAGGGGAGGGGATGGGGGTGGGTGGACCTCAGAGCCCAGAGACAGGGACCCTGGGAGAGATAAAAGTCCCTGAGGAGAGGCTCCCTGAGGGGTCCCCCCAGGTCCTCGGGGTGCTGTGGCCTGTTCTGGGAACCCCTCCAAGTGGAGGATGCTTGGCCACTGCCCCGGGCTGGGTCTCAGCCCTGCAGGAGCCCGAGCTGGGGCTGAGTGTGAGCAGGGGAGAGGCGGGGGCGGCCAGGCACCTCCCCCAGTGTCCTCCCGCCTTGCCCCGCAGCCCTGCGGGAGGCAGGTGGGCCGGAGTCTCTGTTCAGCCCCAGCCGCGGCGGCACGCAGGACAGAGGTCACTTGAACCCAGACCGCACATCCCTGGTAAATACATCAGCTTTTAAATCAATCTTGGTTCAAAGTCCAGCGAGTTCCGAGGCAAGAGCTCAGTGCAGAGCGAATTCCGCGACCCACAGCTGCTCCTGCTCCAGATCCAGGTAGGAACCAGCGGGGCCGTCCTGCTGGCGGAACCTGCTTCCCCCCCACCCCCTTTTTCCTTCTCCCCCCCCCCCCCCCAAGGAGCTGGGTCTTGGGAGTGGGGGTCAGGGGGTGCCTCTGTTCAGGCAGGAATCTCTCCCCCACCCACGGCTTTCCCCAGGGGGCTTTGATGAGAGTCAGGGGGTGATTTCAGGTCAAAAAGAGACTCCTGCGGCAGGCCACAGCGTCTGGCTTTAGGGACTGGCTCCTGGAAGCAGCCCGGGACAGTCCAGCTTCAGCAACTGTCCCCCCCGGGTCCGGCAGGATCTGGGCATTTCCAGGCTGGCTGCAGCAGAAAGCCCGATTCTCCAGATGCTGCCCTTAGGCGGGCTTTCCTGCTTTGGGTCAGAAAACCCTTTTCTTGTGTTTTTTATTCCTTCCAGCACTTTCCGCCAACGCTTTGGGTCTGTGCAGGTGGGCTTGGGAGGCTATGGCTTCTCCTAGCTGAGGAGCCCCCTGGGCTGTGGTGTGACTCTCACCAAGCACAGAGGTTTCCAGACACATTGGGCTACCGCCCCCTTTCCAGAGAAAAAACTTGCTCAGTGGCCTCCCTGGAAATCCATTTTATTTATGCAGACTTCACCAAAAGCTAACCACCCCACACCCCTCGCTGACTGTTCCGGGCGCTCACAGGGGAATCACCCACTTTGGGAAGCAGAGACCGTGGGTGCCGAGATCCTGGCCCCTGAAAACACTTTCCTCCCATTCCTGTCCCTGTAGCCCTTTCACCTGTGTCCAGAAGTCTGGAGGTGGGGGTGGGGCAATTGTCTGAGCCCCAGGACTCCTCTGTTCTTTCTTGCAGCAAATAACTCGGGGACTTCGAGTCTTTGTGTTAGGACTAAGGCAGTCATCCTTGTCTTTGGCTCTGTATGTTCTCTGCACCAGGAACAGGGAAATTGCTTGGGATGCTGCACCCTTGCCAGCCCAGTCCCATCCGGAGGCCGGGACACGGAGGACAGTAGCCCAGATGATCCAGGCTTTGGCCGTCTGTCAGTGACAGGCAGTCAGGAAGTCTGCAGTCAGACATGAGCTGGCTTTTACTTAATCGGCTAGTAGAGCTTCCTGCCTCTTCTTAAGGCTGTGCTGAAGAGGAGGTGTTGGAGAATAAGCCCAACTAGGACCACTTTTCAAAGGGGTGTGTCCAGAGTTTCGTGGGATGGAGGGGGCAGGTGAGCGGTGGGGCTGGACAGCAGCCTGGCCCCAGGCTTCCCTCGTGCTAAACTATCTCTAAACAAGTCTTTGGGTTTACAGGATTGTGAATGTCTTATTCAAGCTCTAAAAGCAGGACAGATCCCGGGGCTTGGAAACGGGATTTGTCCTTGAGACTGAGTTTAAATGTCCCCCAACCCCTGAAGGACATTAAAAGAGCTCCTCCCCCCCCCTTCCTTTGCCACTGTTGCACATCAGCTGTAGCCTTTATCTCCAGAAAGCATCTTGTTGGCTTCTATTTATCACCTGGCTCTTGTGTCACCTGCTGTAATCCCAGTTCTTAGCCTGGCTCAGAGGAAGGGCTGCACGGGAGCTGGCAGGGCGGCGAATGTGCTGCAGGAATGAACTGCAGCTTGTAAGCAGATCTTAAGATCATAAGGGCTGGAGAACTACCAGGCTGTCTCAGTCAGCTGAGGCTCTGGGTCCATCTCTCGGCTCATCTTGGTTGAAAGCTTTTTACACTGGTTGCCTAGGGACCTGCTGAGAGCAGCAAGCTGCAGCCACATGCTTGCCTTTCCTGGGTCCCTCACCAAGGCCTGCCTGTTGGTGCTGGTCTGTGTCGGCTGGGGATCGTGACTTAAGGGGGCTGGGACTGGAATCAGGAGCTCCAGAGCTGACAGCCTCACGTCGGAGCCCCTACTCCCTCAGAGACAAGTGCATGTAACAGGTCCTCGTGGTCAGGCTGTGGGATTGGATGGGGAAGGAGGCAGCATCCGAAGGGCAGGGCCTAGGGATGGAGGGACCCTCTCCCCCACAGTGACCAGAGGGTGCATCCAGCCTCTTGCAACAGAAACACAGAAGCATCTCTGAATGCACTGCTGCACTGGACGCCCAACACTCCGCCCTGCTCTCTGGGCTCCTCCTCCTCCTCCTCCTCCTCCTCCTTTCCCAACTTAGCAGAGATTCATTGGTTGGGAGATGGGGTAGGCTATAGGTGGAACCTAGACTCAACTAGAGCCAGTTGCTTATCAATTAGTGGTTGGAGGAAGGGGTAGGAGAAGTCAATTGTAAAATCATTTTCATTTTTTAAATTTTTGGGGCCACACACAATGATCCTCAGGGACTGCTCCCGGCTCTGTGCTCAGGGGTCACTTCTGGTGGTGCTCTGAGGAAAAACGGGATGGGGGCAGGGTGTTGCTCAGCTACATGCAAGGCAAGTGCCTTAACCCTTGTCCTGGAAGAAGTTTATTTGATAGTGACGGGGGCTAGGCCTCTGGTTTGGGGTACAATGCGGTATGACTGCATAGTGAGATGTGATGCTGTACTTCCAAAACTTATATGGTCTTTGTGACCCAGTAACATTGTATCATTGTATCAGGACAGAGAAGTAGAACAGGAGGGAAGTAGTTTGCCTTGGATGTGGCTGTGGTGGCCACAATCCTGATTCAATTCCTGGAATCACATGTGGTTCTCCGAGTACTGCCAAGTGTGGTCCACAAATGAACCAAACAAAAATGTATTAAAAAGTATTTTAGGGGCTGGAGTGATAGCACAGCGGGTAGGCATTTGCCTTGCACGCGGCCAACCCGGGTTCGATTCCCAGCATCCCATATGGTACCCTGAGCACTGCCAGGAGTGATTCCTGAGTGCAAAGCCAGGAGTAATCCCTGAGCATTGCCAGGTGTGACCCAAAAAGCCAAAAAAAAAATTTTTTTTTTAAATGGGGGGGGGGAATCCGAAATAAGCCAAATAGCTGTGAGAATCCAACTTAACTTTCTGGGCACCCTACCCCCCCCCCCCTTTGAAATTACAATTAACAGTAAATGAATGGGCCAGAGCAATAGACAGTGGATAGGGCACTTGCCTTACATGCAGCTGACTGTGGTTCAATCCCTGGCATCCTGTATGGTCCCCCAAGTCCACCAATAGTAATTCTGAGCACAGAGTTCGGAATAACTCCTGAGCATGGCTGGATGTGACCCCTCTCTACCACCAAAAAAGAAAATCCCAAACAGACAAACTAAAAGAGAAAACCAAAAGAGAAAGACAGGCTTCCTCCTCAAGTCCGTGTTCCCCCTCGTACACGTTTCTTGCTTGCTTATCTCTGTTTCTTTGCTCACCTATTTCCACTCTGGAGGAGACTGTTCTTTTGAACACATATTTCCTCATTTTCTCTCCTCTCACATATTTTTAAGCAAGTTTTGTTCCATAAAAACAAAACTTTTTACTTCACTAAAAAAGGGGAAAAAAAAGAGTAAATGAGAGCTGATAAAAGGTATTTAGACTGGTTCTTGGAACCTGGAAGGAGTTTGATCAGAATGTCTAATAAGATGAAATGTCAATGTTTCTCAAATATTCTAGCGCTGCTAAAGGTAGTTGAGTCTTTCCCCACTGTCCTGGCAGCAGCTTGGGGCAGGGCCCTGTCTGACTGGGGCTGAACTCTGGAATCTGCACACGGCAGCAGCCCTAGCAGGTTTGAATTATATAAAGCTGCTTGACACCCTTTGAGTGTGGTGGTCAAGGAAGGCTTTATACGTAACCTTACATTTGAACTGAGCCTTGAGAAAAGGTAGGTCTTGTAGTCATTCATTTGGAAAAGCTGTTTGCTCAGTACTTACTTGAATGAGTAATCAGGCTGAGCATGTGGCATGAGCAAAGGGCAGGCTGGTGTGTGTGTGTGTGTGTGTGTGTGTGTGTGTCCACGGATGAGCCAGCTGGGTCTTTCAGAGGAGTGGAAGGGAAAGTTATGCTGAGCCTCAAAGGCTAAGCCAGGAGTCTGGACTTCCAATTTTTTAAAGAATGCGTTGATTCAATTTGTTGTTTATTGCTGTTCAGGGAAAACGTTTGTAGTAGAGTTGGTTTCAGGGATTTTCTTCACCACCACCAAGGTGGCCAAGACCCCGGACCCCACTCCCCCATTTTGGTGGCCCCTCTGCTCTGCCTCCTCCCTGCTTGCATGGGAATCTTGATTTTGATTTCAAAGGCCAAGAGTTTGTCCTGTTTGGATACGGTCCATGGCCTTACTATGCTTCTCCCTTTACTATAGATAAGTGAGATCATTTGGGCTTCTTCCTTCTCCCTCTTAGTTCACTGGACCTGAGGTGCTCCAGTTCCATCCAAGTGCAGCAAATCTCATGATTTCATCCTTTTTTATGGCTGCTTGATATTCTAGGGTGTGTAGTCACCAGAACTGCTTTACCTGTTCACCATTGTGAACATTTGGGTTGTTTCTATATCCTGGATATTGTGCTCAGCACTGCAGTGAACTGGGGTGTGCATAGATCTGTTTGAGTAGTTGATGGTTTTGTGTTCTTGGGTAGATGCCAAGAAGTGGGACCTTGTGGGTTTTTTTTTTTCTAAAAAGAAAAAAAAATAACCTCCAGTGGAGTTCATGCCCAATTCAATCAGCTTAATCAATGACTGAATAGCAGTACTCCTACATTATTAAAAGAAAAAATATATATATATCCTCCTAACCTTTGTAATTAGTTCTTGTTCATTTATTTTTGGACCACATCTGGCTGTGCTCAGGGCTTTAGGGCTTTCTCATGGCTCTGTGCTTAGGAATCAATCCTGGCAGTGCTCTGGGTATCATATGGGAGGAATGCTGGGAATTGAAACCAGGTTGGCCATGTATAAAGCAAGTGCCTACCTGCTGTACTCTTGTTTTGTCCCATTCTTTGTTTTTAAAGATGTCTCTATACTCCTTTTTTTTCCTTTCCCTTTTTTTCTTTCCTCCCTTCTTTTTTCTTTTTTGCGTTTTGGGTCACACCTGGCGATGCTCAGGGGTTATTCCTGGCTCTGCTTTCAG